GTCCGTCTGTTTGTCACCCCGTATCAGCGCTAACACTGCCTTGCCTAAGTTAATCAAACTGGTTTCACAGACCAGTACAAAATTTAACAAGATTTTCTTTTATTCCGGTGTCGTTTCTTCATTTTTAAGGGTTGTGTTACTTACTGCATAAAATAGCATTTACCTGTAACTGCGGTTCTTTGACAGATTTTAATGAGATTTGATCCATGTTCTTATATTATACACGTGTGACTGTACGGTTCCGTCCACTTAAGTTGATTTTAAGCCCCTCAATACTGAAAGACTTGAATATATTTTGAAAAGTGTACATCAAGTATTCAAATGAGAAACCGATTTACTGCAAGAAGGTCACAAGTATGGATATAGACGTAGTATGTTACATAACATTTGCAAAATGCATGGTCATTTCCAGAAAATCACTAGCATTAATTGAAAAAACAGTATTTAATTGGGTACCACCAAAATTCTTATCCAAAGTCCTATTATCGCCCTGAATTTGATAGTCTGTTAAATTTACAGTCATAGACGCCAGCAACAAGGAATAAAAACTAAGCATTTGCAGCACCCCCCATTACTTTTTAAAAAATTAAGACTGAAAAAAGAAAGGAAAATGTCAATATACCAGCATCTTTGAAGTTAGCAAAAGCATTCTTAAACGGTTTAAACGTGCTTGTGAGCAAATTAGCAAATTTGTTGCCTGCCAACTTCCCTTAGAAAATCTTTGGGGGGGTTATGTTTACAGAAGACTGACGTCACGCATAAGTAAAATAACATGTTTAAGGTCGGCCTGATAAAAATTTGTATCCAGTCACATGACGACCCTGCTCTGTAAAGAATTTTGCGAAATGTAAAGGAACGAAAACAGGATTCAATCTGGCAGAATCATCTACGGCCCGAAAACAACTGTTTTACCCACATGAATACCAGGAAACGGCAATAACAGGCGGAAATTATAGTACAGAAAAACTGTCGGGCCGTTCTTATTGAAGATGTTCAAAATGTCGGTCATTAGTGCCCAAACAGAAGAAGTGCAGGTGCATTACCCACGGACACGCTATATGTACGGGTATACCTGTAATGTATTTACGTTCGTACTTAATTGAACTGGGCTGGATATAAACTGGTAGTAAGTAAAATAAAGCTATCCCTGTACCAGGCCGTGAAGGCCCATAGGGTTGTGAGACGATGAGGGTCCCACACTATCTACACAATCGGCTCAAAGATGGCGGTAAGGTTGCCAGCCTTACGCGCCGGCCGCGCTTTACTCCCCAGGATAATTATTTAATTAATTTCTGGTACTCATTTCTGATAGAGGCTGAGTTAACCCCAGGGCCTAGTGCGGCTGGAAGGATTAGGTCAACTGAAAAAAATCCAATGACCTCATCGGGACTTGAACTTTGTACTTAAAAATTAATTGAATTACAAAATTTGTTAAAAATAAATAAAAAATTAGAAGACCGGCAAACAAACACGAAGAAACTAACAGGCATGTAGGAACTGTCAAAGAATATTGCGAATAACTGTAACAATGTTTTCAGTTTCGGAGATGCACCGTTCTTTGTTTCACCCGCTCGCCACGTTGAGGCACAGGATATGAGCGGGGACCTGAAACAAAAGAAACAAACAAAAAAAAACTTCAGTGTGAACACCAGCAAACAGAATTTGAATTAACAGAATGAACACATAAGCTTACCTCTTCTTCTGGTACTCTTGCCATCTCTTCTGTAACACATCTTCTTTTAAATACAAAATTCTTCAGAAAATTTGCTGTACGTTTTAACATCTTCGATCGTGGAAGGCGTACAACTGAGTGTACCATTTGTTCACTGCAGTTGTTCCCGTTAAATGGTCAACACGATTAAACTGAAAGATAAATATACGCCGTTTGGTGCAGAAATAAAAACAAACGACATAAGGAAGCAAATTTTTCCGTTTTCGTTCAAGTGTTGAGCACTCACTGCAAAAAAATAAAAAAGGTGATTTTCTCTCGAAAAATCTACTCACATTTATTGCGTTAGAAGGAGGCTCCTTTCAACACGAAAGGAAAACACAGGAACACGGTAAAATTGGAGACGTTCTGGCGCATAGTATAAATTAGTCATCGTAAAATGAAATATTATCTTCTGTCGCACAGCCTAGTGGCTATTTACACAACTAGCCAACGTTAACACGCTCAATTTAAATCGAATACGACTTATTCTTTTTCGAAATAGAGGTTATCTTTACGACAGTTAAATTTTTGTGGCGTTGAATCCGAATTCCGATAACAAACGGCGACTTTTACTGACACGTGAAATATAATCGTCAAGAATTCACGTGTGTTTCTTGAGAAGTAACAATGTAAAACCCTTATATTATCGTCTCACCTGATGCGTTTCATTCTGATGACAAACGATGTCTTCTCCGTTGCTGAAGCTGCAGCACTTTTGACTTACCTTGTGCAATTCATCATGATGACAATCGATGTCTTCTTTTATGCAGAAGCTGGAGCATATTTTATTGACTCACCTTATGCGTTTCCTCATTTTAACATTTTATAAATTGAATACACAGCACAATACACACAAACAATCATAATATGTCATCAAATTGAATATGCAGCACAATACACACAAATACAATAAGTCATCAAACTGAATATGCAACACAATACACATCAATTTAATATGTCATCAATTTTAATATTCAGCACAACACACACAAAGAAACATAACATGTCATCATAAATTTTAATGTCTGTTTTATATGTACCTGGTACTTACAGATCCAGTTCCTTATCTTTCAACATTGAACTGAAAGAGGAATGAAAGCAAAATGAAGTTTTGCTTTATTGGATCTCTGTCCCTCCAACGCGAGTTATTCACAGAAAGAGACTGTCAAAGTTCTTTTTATCCCTCTCTCTCTCGCATTGATTTCATTGTTGTGCCGACCGAACCCTGTCAAGTTGCACCCTGTGGCATAAAAAAAAACACACAGAAATACTTAAAACTAATCCCTCCTAAACCGATACGAAGCCTAACTTCACGCAGCCTAATCAGAAATCCTATCATGGGCACCTAACGGGGAGGGCGGGAGGACAACCAACTTACAAACTAAAATAAAAAAAAATATAATTTCCACAGGGTGTCAAACTCGACCTTAACCTAAGCCCTGAGTCATGGCGGCTACCACAGCGAATCCAGAGTTCCGTTATCACGGTACTATGTTATCGTGACCAGCCTGGGGCCGGACTGGACCACGATAATACCGTGCGTGCTATGGGACCTTTATTCACTGCGAGTACCCATCCCCATCCTCCTGCGGATGGGCCCTCAATCGCTAAAGGTTCCGAAACGGCACTGTTTTGGTTTCAACTTTACGGTTTGAGCGTTGCTCCTCCTGCCTTGCGTAGTTCCTGGTTCCAAGTCTGCACCTGGTGGACGCTGTCTCCATTGGAAGTATCACAACACTATCACAAACACTCAGAGAGCCGTTGTAATCACACACACAATATCTGTATTCACTCACATAAGCACACGGCGAACACTTATCACACGAAATAGCACTCGCGAACCACACACTACCAACCTGAATACCACAAACACAGTTTACGTGATAATTCTGAATTTGGCTGCAGAACTTCGTCTCGTTAGATACCCGGCAAAGCAAGTAAATGTGTTTATATCGATTTCAGTTATGTATGACTTAATACTG